ATACCTCCAAGCAGGGAGGGAGGCCCTTAAAGAAACGGGGGTTACCACTGCTGTCTGGAGGGCAGACGGTTCTTCCTAGACCCTGAGCAAGCTCCACAGGAGCCCTCAGCATGGAAAGACCAAAGGTCTGCTCCTGCTTGCTTCAAATTCTTCATCGCAATCTGATGTCCCCCCTCCCCGAGCTTTAACCTGGCACCGTCCATTTGCTCCAACCCTGCGCTCTGATACATCCCGTGGTATGTCCCCTCCCAATCCACAGCCTCTCACGTACCCTCACCCACAGTAGCCTCGGATAACAATGATGATAAAAAACAGTGCTTTTGCTGCATTTTTCATGATGGTTCATGATGTGTTAACAAAACATGGCACTGCTTCCATAGGAAGTAATTATTACTTGTTATTGTTTGACTGTCTGTACATAACAAAAAATACCTTAAAAAAAATACCACAACACTCTCTGAACAACGGCTTTTCGCCTTGCGAGGGTTTCTACTCGTCCAGCTTTGTGGTGGTGCCTATTTATTTTTTGGAATGCTTATTCATAAAAGACAAGCTTTTTTTTGAAGGGTGCAGGGACTTTATTCATAAATACAGAAGCACCTTAATAAAAGAAAGATGTGATGAAGTCTTCAAAGCAGGCAAGAAAACTGATGAACAAAGACATTCCCATAACAACTAAGCTTTATCTGATCAAATTCCAATAAAGCCTGCATTTGGCATAAATCTTTAAAAACATAGCAAGGGCCACTGGAGGATGCTAAAACTTGTTTATTTAATATTATTCCTCCTCCCTCCCCCAAAAGTTCTTTATCCTCTTATTATTCTGAAGTCTTGGTGCACGTTGAGAAGTGCATTGAGCGAACGCAGTGCAGTGGAAGGATGGGAGGAGAAGCACGGGAGAGCACTCGCCCCATCTGAGGACGAGCCGCTTCCTTTCTTCCCTCCCTCCAGCTTCCCACTCTCCAACGTGCTGATGATCAGCAGCACCACCAGCAGATTAACCCTCACTTTCAGGCAGAAGAAACAACAGAAAAGATAGTGCCTTTAAAGAATTTAATTCTCTGTGGCTTCACTTAACCAGAGCCAAGAAGAGACAGCTTTTATACTAGCCTTATAAAAGAAATCTAATTCCTACTTCTATGACTTTTATTATTTTCCATCCTAAGACTACTTAATATGTGCACTGTGCTTCCCATCTGCGCAGGAACACACAGATGTGGCTGACTAATCCTTAAATACCAAGAGAAGTATTCTGGGTGAAAACAGACATTAAAGAAACTTTTTCTCGGGGATTACCACTCGCCCACTGGCTTCACGGACACATCCAGGGCACCTCCATGAGAATTAATCTCCAGGACCCGCTGCTCGGAGAAACCCGGGGGGCAGCAGACCTGGCGAACGGATCCACAACCACTCGCTCCCAGCATAAATACGACGGGGTGCTCTCTGCTCCAGCCCTGCCTCTGAGGTGGGAACAGGGTCCTGCTGCTGCTGCGCCGGGGGCTGGGAGCGAGGGGCCACGGCCCTGGCTTGCCACGCCAAGCAGCCCCAGACTGCCTTCCCGGAGTCAGTGCAAACAAGGGCTGCAGGAAAACATAAAGTCCTTTTCTGATGTGGTTTGGAAAAGGGAGCCAAGTATAGCCCGAGGAAAGCTTAGCCGAAAAGGTGCAGTCTTGCATTTCTTTTTTCATTTTAAGGGTAGATCTGTAACATCAGAGGACCACACAAAGAAAGAATCAGGAGGAGAAACAAAATATTTATATTCTGCTTGCTTATTTTTTCCATTTACCCTGCACATCTGTCTCTAGCTGTTCCTAAAATAGTCCTTCAGAGTAATATTGTCCCTTCTGCACCAGTGGTATATATACTACTACTAAACTGCCACTGGACTAAATCAGAGAGCTCTTGGAGAGCAGTTAGGAGACTTGCATGTGTTGAGGGACAGCCACTTTCCCAGTGAACCAAAACAAGAGAGCTCTGACTCTCTCCAGAAGACTTCTGCCCCTCTCTTCCTGCTTGACTGAGAAAGATGAGGGGACACGGGAACAACCATCCCTAAAACTGCAGGTATGAGAGGAATTTAAAAAACCCTCATCAAGAAGATCTTGTCAACAAAGCAAAACACTAGGCAACCCGAAACTTGATGGGAGAAAAAAAAAAAAACAAACCACCCTAATAATTAAATGTTGCTTATGCAAGACGAAAAACCACATTATTCCTTCTGGGCACAACAGCCCTGGCAAGCCCAGCACGCATCTCACAAGACAGGAAGCAGTGCTTATGCACGGAGGAGGAGCAGCAGCTGCACATGCCAACTCCACCAGCAATCTCCTCTGCGAGGCCCACTGTCCATGCATGGCTTTTCATGCTGGAAGCAAAGATACCCGAGTAAGTCTTCAGCCCTTACAGAACATATTTACCTCTCCCACTTCCACTGAAATGAGCATCTTCCTCATTCTCCCCTTTTACCTCCCACGTCTGTACCCTCCTCCACTGCTAGACACCCCTATCTGCACTATCAATCTATCATTATTCAGCCCTAAACCTCCTCTAGCATCACTGTGGCACCAATGCCTCCTACCCATCCTTCCTCACCTTCAGCTCTTTCGATTTTCTTCTTTTTAATCTCTAAAATTCATATACTAAGTTTCAGGATGTTTTCTGTAGCACTGTTCTACAATACATCACAGAATCATAGAGTATCTCAAGTTGGAAGGGACCATAAGGATCACGGGTCTCTCCTCTCCAATTTCTCCCCGCTTTTGCTTTTCCTGTTAAACACCGCGTGCTAACCTCACATGTTGTGATGGAGATTAGATGCAGTGCTATTTAGGGACTCTGATGCTCCTGCAGTAGAGCTGCTGGCAAGGAACCCATGCAGTTCAGACTGGCCATCACAGAGCTAAGATAACACCTCTGTACGAGGTTTTGGGGAGAGCTGCATACAAGATTGCAGGAAATAAGTACGACCAAAGGGGGGAAAAAACAACCAGCAGAAGGCAGCTACAGGAGCTTGTAAGAAGTAAAGCAGAGAGAGGAACTAACAGGCAGCTTTTATCATTTTAATAGGTGCTCTGCAACGGAAATGCTCCAGAGACAGCTGGCCTCTCTACAGGCAAAGGAGCAAAGTAACATGCCTAAAATATGCCTGGCACAAACAGACACTCAGAGCTCGCTGCCTTTGGCTTGCCTGTTACTTGGTGGAGAAAAGACCTAATCCTACAATAACCTGCACTCATTACTCACCTAACACTTCACTCAGTATGCCCCACCCAGCCTAAAAAAGAAATTGCCTTACTCACCAGCTATATATTTATCTAAAGGACCCAAGTACCTGCCCTGGATGCAGGTGTCAGTCATTTCCATGGGCACAGGCTTGCTGGAGTCAGGCCCTCTCAAATAAGCTCCAGCTGTTTCTCATCACAAGGCGAAATCCCAGCCAAGCAAAGGCCCTTTCTTCCCTACCTCCGCCAAACCCTTTGTGTCCCACGTTCCTCAAACATGGAAAGGCAATGAACCAAGCTCAGGCAACCGCAGCTGTACTCCTTTCAGGTGGCTGACTAACAGCTCTCAAAAGTAGAACAACAGAAAGCCCAGAGATGCCATCAACTCCTTTTAGGATGTCTGAACAGTGAGGTCAAGCCAGAACATACAATTGTTTCAACAGGCTGGTGGGGCAGCATCACAGGGACTCGTAGCATAATTCTCTGTGACGGCTGTTACATATAGGTGACACCCACCAGTGACTCTCATTAAATAGTCCTAGCTTTCTCTTAACAGATGACATGTTATTTACTCAACTTTTCTGCCAGCCTGTCCTTGGGAAGGAAGGCAGCCAAGTCGCAGTTGTGAAGCCAAGCACCCAGTGACCACCTATGGACCTGAACGACATTCAACCGGGAATCATGCTTCTCCTATGTTTAAACAATGTCTAAACAGTCCAGTGCACCTTTTCCTGCTGTCAGCCTCTAAGGTTGGCTTATACGGTCACTTCAGCAAGCATGGGAACCCAAATTTCCCTGTCTCCTCCAAGTTTGGCTTGCACTTGACCAGACCAGGCAGGAAAAGGTGAATGTTGAAAGTGAGGGAGAAGCCTAACTCAAATTTGCACCCACTGGATCTGAACCAGACTCTACAAGGCTGCAAACTCAGGGCAGTGCTCAGGCATAGCTAATGAGGGCAACAAGAACAGAGCCAAAGACGGGCTCAATACACTTTTACAATGTGGTATCCTGTCTGGCAGGGTTTTCAGCAGAACAAGTCCCGGGTTGCTGGAACAACCATGAGTTTTACTCAGTATAAAACTGCTGGGAGCTGAGCCCCTTCTAGTTGCTGTGTTTCCCGGCAAACTGAACTATGCTTTAGACGAAATACACTCTAGACAGTATTTGCACAAATGCACAGACTCTATGTAAATGACTTTAATGGTTTTAAAGTCTTTAAAGATTAAATGACATCAATCTTACCAACACTCAGGAGAGAGAGAGTCATGGGGTCATTTTCTTCCTCACTTCTCAATCCCTGAATTATCCACTCCCTTGCCTCAACCCCTGGGCTACTATACAGAAGCCAGGTCTGAAACTGCTAAGCTTTGAAACTCAACTATTAACAACGCCATTCCTGTGAGGAATGGTTAACAGGCTTCTCCTGCACACAGGCCAGAGAGAGGAATTTGACTTCTACGTAAACTACAGTACAGGCCAGGTGTTGGGAGACGGAGATCCTGGGGATGACTCGTTTGATGTCTTGTTCTGTCACTTATCATTATATGCTGAAACTTTGGAGTCCCGAGGCACGATTGCTAGAAGAAGTTTGCACATTTCAGCTTCAGATGATTTTGAATAAAGTCCTTTCTAGGAAAGGCACGGGAAATAAGAGGCTACTTTGGAAAGAGAGGACTCAACCGCTTCTCCCCATGGTTTGTTCCACCTGCTAGACGGGTACAAGGCGGGTTTCCTACAGAAAGACGGGGAGCCGACGTGTGCGAGGTGCCACCGTACCTGGTACAGCTCTATCCGCTGCTCTGAGACCCGCGCCTTCGAGTTCTGCAGGCGGAAGACCCTGAACTCGGCCTTCACCAAGTTGGAGGCGTTCTTCTCCATCGCTGAAACGTCAAATCTGACGATTCGGAAGTAAAGGCTGTAATAGCTCGGTGGGATGGCATCTGCAAGAAGGCAGTATGATTTTATTATTTTCTTTAATGATAAAATACATTCTTCCTTCAAACAGTGTAATACAAGACAGCCTCAGTAAGGGAAATATCTGTAGCATGATTCAGTTTCCAACAGCCAATTTAATATTATTAACAATTTAATAAAAAAAAAGAAAAACCAACCCCACATGTGTTTGATTATAGGAATACCATATTAATAGAGATTAACAACTATTTCCAACTCTATTTCAGGTCACGCATTTAAACCTCCCCTCTTTCAACATACTGGTGGAAAATCCCAGATGCTTATAAATTGGGAAAAAATCATAGCAGTTGGCATCTGGCAAATGCCTTCAGATTTGCACAGAGTACACAGGGATCCGCTAAGATGACAAGTAACAGCAACTCATCTGATCTGTATGTTCTCTGAAGCCCATTTCTGCCCAGAATATGAAGCATAAATTAGCCAGCTTCAGATTTTGTTTCGTATTTAGTTATTAAAAAATTTTATAGGAACAAAATATTTGTTCTGATTATAGTGACAAAGGCAGGAAGATAAGAGGAAGAATAAAGGGAGAGAAAAGGCAAGCAGATAGTAGACATTATTAACAGAATTAGAATCACAGAATCATAGAATCATAGAATCATTAAGGTTGGAAAAGACCTCTAAGATCATCGAGTCCAACCGTCAACCCAACACCACCATGCCCACTAAACCATGCCCCTAAGCACCTCTT